AAAAAAAAAAAAAAAAAAAAAACGACCGGCGAACAGCCAGATTTCAGAAAGGGAAATGAAAATCTCTCGAGAACCGAACGGGAAAAGTGTGAAATATATGCGAGTATAAACGGCTGATTGGGTAGGAAGATCAGAAGGGAAAATAGAAGGGGCTTTCGTTGAGATTAAAGAAATGAAAATTCAGGTACACCGCCATTTGCATTGAGATATCAATGTTTGTTACTCTCCCGAAATTCGTTACATATTTCATTTGAAACAGTAAAATTAATTTTCAGGAAACAGAAGGTGACCCCCACGCCAAATATGAATTTAGAATTTTAAATTTAAAATACTAATGTGTCAATAAATTATTTATCAACAATTTATTTATACTTTTAAAACTATTCAATTACAAAACTAAAATTACTTTCGTGTTATACTATATGTAACTGACCTATCATTTATTTTTATTATTATTCTTTAAATGTTGCTGATATCATTAAATATGGTTATGGGATTTACCTTCAGGGTGGATGGGGGAGGAAAAGTCCTATCCTCCAATTTAGTTAACGATTGTGACTCTTGATCGTTATATCATGTTGTGTTTGGTTGAGACAGACAGGGTATTTTTGGAATTTTGTGGGCTGGAAAGATAATACAAAAAAGTTCTACGATGCTTCTTTTACAGTAAAGTATTTACTTTTTGAAATTATGCGTGGACATATAGACCTTTTTGAGTTTCGCAAGGAAAGTTTCTGATTATAAAATGATGAGAACCTTTTTGAAGTTTGAGAATATTTGAATTAGACCCACCAGCTTTTAGCTTCAGCCTTCAGATTTTGAATACACACTTCTTCACTTAAGTCAGATAGATTTTCTTTTAAGTATTTTTAAAACAAGGGAAGGCGTGCGAGCCACAACTGCAAAAAGAGATCATAGACTAGTAAAATCATAGTAACTGTTAGATCCAAATCGTGACCTTTGTGACTAGAAATATATAATTAGTAAGTACTACTTAGTATTTATTTGAAGTTCAAGGAATCTCATTTAGATTGCGATACATATACCTTTTTTTTAATCCACAGTAATACATTGTCACAGACTTAGTGGTCCCAACATAACGAGAGACAAAAATAAGAGGGACAATGAAGAGAAAATTTTGGATCGAACTGCTTTAACTGGTTGTACATCAACTACTAACATAATCACCAAGTACATCTTGCTAGCCAATTGTATAGGTATATAGTACTTTTAACCCATCAAACGCAAGAATCCACTTGCTTAATCTCCAGAAAAGCGGGACCAAATATATTTATATTTATATTTATAAAGCGAGACATCCACAATTTTCAAATCCTAAATCCGCCTCCGTGACCAAATACTGTGACCAAGACTCACACTTCTGCTGAAATTATACAACTATTTCTGTGCTTCTGGTCAGTGATATCTGTAGCACATGATAAGGTTAGCGCCTGGACCAACCCAACAAACTCGAACCGCGGAAGTGAATTTGCTGGGCCTGATCCCTTTTTCCTAGATGTTTAAAATGGAGAAAAGGGCCTATTTGTTTGGTGGGTCGTTTGTTAGCAGATAATGTTGACGACACAAAGAACTGCTGTTCTACTGTCGCTTTCGATGTTGGGGACTAGCAAGATTTATCAGTGTTGAAACTTAAAATGGCTAGCTACAGCATACAGATAGATTTGCAGAAATACAGACGCAAAACGATTTTAAAGCAGCAACCAGATTTACTGTGTACCGGGAAACCAGCAGAGCTCCTAACAATCGACAAATTTGAAATGAAATCTATAGAGTTCGCGACATCGTATTTCAAAAACTCTACTTTTGAATATACAACTTTTTCTAATATCCACCATATAACAGGTAGCCCCTACTTAATGATACATTGTTCCCTCAAAACCCAACTTCAAACAAGTAAGGGTTAACAAAAGAACTTCTTGTTCTAAAGATATCAAGCTTCAAATAAGATTAATCATCAACTTAGTAAATACTACAGGCTTAAAATTTAGAAGAAGCTTATACGAAAATCAGCTGTGGTCCATATCTCTTCAGACTGAAATGACAGAATTACACTATCAGTTGATGACACAAATATGTGTGTATGTGTTGGGGGTGTCAAACCACCTTTTTTCCGAGGGGTAGGGGTAGGAAGTTTTTCCAATTAAAGTGACATTATTCGAAATGGGATTATTTGTTTCGGTGAGAGTCGCCACTTGAAATAATTTATGGTGTCTCAAGTCACTGGTATATTTTAAATCCCAAATCGAGGAAATTTGACTCTATTTTTGTGGTCTGCAAATACAGAAGACCGGGTAAGGAATTCTGTTAACCCAGGAGAAGGTGTAAGGCACTCCCGAATTCCGTGGTTTTAGCACGGTCGCTCAACTATTAATGATTGACCTAATTATCTGATTTAATACATGCTTAAAACCTATTGTGCATTTTTAACTTTTAACTGCTTTTAATTATTTATGGAACTTATTTGAACAAGTCGCGATGTCGCACACTTATTTATTTTTGTACATATTGCGTCACGTGAAACGCACCCGCGATTTACAATATGCTTATTTTTATTATTATTCAAAGTTGAAGTCAAGTCGCTGAAATGCGCACTTAAGTTGGGGTTTACTTATCGTGACTATACCACGGGAGTCGTACCAATAGTCACGATAATTTATTAATGTCACGCCCCAAACTAGGGGAGGCACGACTGGCACTCGATACTGTATTCGATCGAGTTAGCCACTAAACATACTAGCTAACTAGACTGGGAGCCCAACAGATCGGGCAGCACAACATTTGAAATACTAAGCCTGGACCGTAAGGTTATGACATGAATAACAATAAGCCATATAAACATAGGTAGACAAGCCAAAATAATAAAATACTAG